ATCTAAGAACTATGAGATACATTAGATAGATGTAAAATCTGCATATCTTTACAGAGAACTAAATGAGGACAAACTTATTTATGTGAAACTGTTACCAGGCAAGCTACTTACAGATATTAAACCTGGACAGGCATTATGTTTAAATAAAGCATTATACAGATTGAAACAAGCAGGTAGACAATGGTACAAGAAGATTACCAAACTACTACTTAAGATTGGATTAGAACAAGCTAATTATGATTACACTGTATTTTATAAGAAACAAAATAATAAAACAATTCTTATAACCTTTATACATGTTGACAATATTATGATTATTGGCAAAACTATCACTATAATAACAGTATTTAAATATGCATTAAGACAATACATTGTATTCACTAATGGTAACAAAATATATTAGTTACTTGGTATTAAAATAAGCCAAAATAGACTTTAACAAACAATTAGCTTATAGTAAAAGCATTATATTGAAAGTATAATCAAGTGTTACCACTTTGAAAACGAAAAGGCACTACAAATGCCTATTACTCCTGGAATAGATTTATCCAATAATACAAACAATATGTACAATACAAACGAAAGTAATAATGAAATAACACTATACATAAATATAGTAGGATTGTTAAGATATGTTACAGATTACACACAGTCAGACATATCTTATATTACTAGGCAATTAGTACACTACCTACAAAAGCCCTAAACACACTACTACAAAGTAGTGAAACATTACTTTGTGTATTTGAAATATACAACAAATTACTAGCTTCAACTTGGAAGTACAAACACCTTAAAACTATGAGGCTATTGTGATACAGATGGACAAATGACAGAAGGACATAAAGTAATAAACAGCTACATCTTTCAATTAGCTAAATCAACCATATCTTAGTCAAGCAAACAGCAAAACCTGGTACTATTATCTGTTTACAAAGCCAAGTTGTAAGCACTAGTGTATACTACTCAAGAAGCCATTTGGCTCAAACAATTCACTAAAGAGGTACTACAGACTGAATCAGTACTCATTATGATTTATTGTAATAACCAAGGTGTAATAAAGACTGTAAAGTCTGACAAAATAATGTACAACACTTACACTAAACACCTTGATTTATAAAAAGACTTTGTGTAATACTATATTCAAAACAATTACATTAATGTATACTATGTCCAATTACAGAATCAATTAGTAGACATTCTTACAAAAGCTCTCCATGTCCTACAGATCAAGCATCTAATCAAACTATTAGGCATACAGTCTTAGTTCTTAATTAATGCTTGAAGGAGAGTATTAGATTATGCTCTAGATTAGGAAACCCCTAATTGCCTTATGTAGCATTACAGGTATTAGTTGTTTCTTTAAACAGGGACATTCCTTTGAACACCCCCCTCTAATTCATACATAACTCAACCAATAAACTCAAAAAAATAGAGAAATGTAGATACATACATGTACTATATATATATGAATTCTGAAGGAAATTGATTCAGTAGAAAAGTGTATAGAAATTCAATACTGCTGAAATTGAATGAATTCCAAATATGAGACTACTGACAAATTTTTTACTACTACTTATACTACAGTGTTCAGTATAAAAATTATATTATTGTATTCCTCTACTTTAGAGCTACAATATGTATGTTTTATCATATTGAATGGACCAGTCCTTAAATTAATATTGTGTAATTTGTTAAAAATGCTCAAAAAGTGTAACAAGAGAGTAAAATGATCAGCATTGATCTACATTGATCTGCACTGATCTACACTGACCTACAGTCCTAATGACACATTGGTTGAGAGTATTAGTCTGTAACATTTGCTAAATAAATAATTTTTTCTCTCTGTTTGTTCCTCATCTCTTAACAGTCCTATTCTATAGTAAAGCATGCTAAATCTAAATCATTACAGAGGAGAGAAAAGAAAGAGGAGCAGGAAAAAAATATTACTAAAGTAGTAGAAATGTACTAAGCTGAGCTTAAACAGCCACTAGAAAAGCATCAGGGGTTACAAAAAATAGCTAGCATGTTTGAAAGAGTTACAGTAGGTACATTAAGGAATAGGGTGGCTGGAAAACAATCTATTATGAAGTTCAATTCTTCAAAAACAAAATTGATTAAGGAGGATAAGATTACTCTTACCCAGCTGATTTGTATTTTGTCTGACAGAGGCTGTCCACTCATACACAATAACATTCAATGTACAGCAGATTAACTACTTAAAGTACAAAATGGACAAAATGTGGATCTAAATTTGTACATTGTTTCCTTGAGTGTCACTATAATGAATTGAAAACCTACTAGAGTACTCACTTAGATACTTAGTGAGCAAATGGAATGAATCCTACAGTAGTTAATTAGTAGTTTAATATAGTAGAGAAAGAGATAGTACATAAGAGTGTCTTACTTGAGTATATCTTTAGGATGGATGAGTCTAGGTTCCCTCCTACTAATGATAGTGTCAGACAAGTCATTGGTTCTAAGGGGAAGAAGATTCAGTATAAGTAGAGGGGTGGAAATAGGGAGAATGTGACTGTACTTGTTACAATCTGTACAAATGAGTCTTACCTGAAACTAGTTGTAATCTTTAAGGGCTAGAATCTCTAGTCTAGGTGGACTGAGAACAATATTTTAGATGCTTAGTAAGTAATTATACTTATAAAATTAAATAAAACTTACTTTTTGTCCAGTTTTACTAGTTCTCCTAGTAGCTGAACTAATACTAATATTACTTTAAACTAGTTTCAAAATCATTTTGAGCCTAGTACAAGAGAGTAGGCTAATGAATGTACTTGAGTTCTTATTCTTAATAGTTATAGCTTACACTATTCTCTAGACCTCTTAGATACAGTTACTGAATACAATGTTAGTATTCTCACCTATCCACCTTATTGTACACATGTATTGTAGGGTTTGAATGTAGTATACTTTAGAAAAATGAAATGAATATAGAAGAACTTGATTAATGAATTTGAAGCATGTGTATTATAACTAGTAGGAAAACAGGATTTCTTAGAACTATTTGGAAGGGTATTCTTACTTGCCTTTGACTAGCAGACTATTCAGTCTACATTCTAGGTTACAGGAATCTATCCATTCAACCAGGAAGTCATTTCTATAGACTAGATGAGACTGAGCAAAGTTGGTTCAAGTAACTCTACCTTTCCTATACTATTATCTACCCTAGTTTGTTATATTATAACTGTATATCATCATTAGCCTCTAACCAGTTTTAATGTTAATCTATTAATACACCTGCCTACTAGCCAGCTACTTGTATTGCCATCTCAAACCCCAGTCTGCCCAAACACTCATTCTTATAACAATAGTATTATTATGTTGATACTAAACTCAGATACTAGTTTTCCTAACAGTAGTACTATTCTGTTACTATTACAAGCCTACATTAATGCTAATTCTTATAACAGTAGTATTATTCTATTACTACTACAGGCTAACCTTAATACTAGCTCTTATAATAGTAGTATTATTATATTGTTACTATAAGCTAACTTAGACACTAGTTCTTATAATAGTAGTATTATTATATTACTACTACACATTCTAGTTATTAACCTAGCTATTAATCCATTACTATACACACTGATAAAAAGAATATGCTTAATATACTTGTTACTTACAATGTCAGAGTCTGTAAGTTTTCTTATAAAAAAAGAAAGACTCACCTTCTCAGAAATACTCTTACTACCTGTCTTAGAGAAGGTTCTACCAAGTTCTAAAGAGCTGGATTAGAGACTCATAAATCTGTGCTTGGAAAAGTTAGTAGGACAAGAACTCAGGGACAAAGTAAAGGTACTTACTAAAAACATTACCTGGGCCTGCTAGTATGTTGAAATAAGCTAAAGTATTATAGAAGGGGCCTAAGTACAGCTTGTTCTGGCCTCCCTTCTTAATACTAGGCTTTAGAATGCTCTATACAAGAAGGAGAAAGGAAAAACAACAGAGAACTCACAGATATTTGATAATAGAATGTTAAAGATTATGACTTTAGATAAGACTAGGGAAAAGCTCAGACAGAAGAAGAAATACAGGGAAAAGGAAGAGAAGGAGGTCTAGGCAAGAAAGGAGGAGGCTAAAAGGAAGAAGGAAGTTAATAATATGATTGAAAGTGAATGGAAACAAATCAAGACTCACTATAACAAAGAGCTTACTAAATGGTAGGCTAAATACTCTACTTAGAGGGAGGAAGGGCTCCTAAAGGCTTATTAGAGCCTTAAACCTTCTAGACTAACAAAAAAACAAGTCTAGGACAACATAATACAAGAGAGGGGCCTTAATGAAGAAGAAGTAGTGTCTGGATGTGGTGAATACAACCTAAACCTGTGAAGACACAACAAATAATATAGGAATTTTGCTTAAAGGTACAGATATAACTATAGAACAATTGCCTGTATAAACAAGAGTAAGAGGAGTGAGCTAAGAGTAAACATAAGAGTGTGAGTTGAGAAGATAGGGGTGGACAGGTTGAATGTGTGCTAGTATGATAGAGTGTTACAGGAGTGTTTAAAGGAACAACTTTTATGACAAAATCTCACTTTTTTCTTATCTTCATATTAATTTTTTTACAGTACTTAATAGCTTGGAAAAATTCAGGCATATAGTATTATACATATAATCATTAGATACATAAATTTTTAAGTAAATTTTTAATGTGGAAAGAAATGTAGGGGAAAACAAAATTGGTGTTTAAAGGAACATTTAATGTCTGTACTATACTTGGAATGTCTCAGACTCTCAGACTTCATCCTATAGTATATAAGGTAGACACTTGCTTAATGTCTCAATAAGAGAGAGTTGGGGGGCACTCCTACTACACTTGTTAAAAGTTATAAATTTACTATCTAGTTTAGCTTATTACTACAAATATTTACTAGATACTGTCTATCTTTCTATTTCTTTCTATGACTGCCTTGTATACTTGTTCTCTTCTCCTGTTCATTTTGAGAAGTTAAACTACTAGAGAATATTCTTAATCTGTGTTAGTAATATTTGTCTGACAATATACTACTTCTTTTCTCTTTCTTAATGTTTTGTCTAGATTCTGACACTTGACTATTATTATCCTGTATACTTCCATATTGCTCTTTATATTTCTCTTTTGTTTGCCTTGTTACAATCTTATCCTTTACATTTATCCATGTATCTTTTACTTGAAAGTTCTCTCTAATATAGGTTTTAATATTACTTAACCACTAATTATAATGTTAATTATGTGTTATATTTTAATAATATAACAAACTTACAGGTAAACCAAGTAACTCCTCTATAGATGCTCTTTCTTCTTCAGCCAGCTTTAGACATAACTTTATAAAGGTATGTACTATTTACAGAATAAAATCACTTTAATATTAGATAGAGAAAAGTCTATCATACCTTTACTAGATAACTAGTGTTCAAATATAGTACTTTCTTTTAAAAATTCATAAATTACAAACTTCTTTCCACCTTGACTTGTATAATAATCAATATAATTTGATTGAATTCTGCTTATAATATTTTCTACTTTTGATTTCTTTAGCAGTTTAAAGAATTACTCTAGATAAAGAATAAGATCAGTTCTAAATATAAAATTAAATGTTATAACTCTATAAATTTAAATTACAGTTAGAATAAGTTTCTTATAATTAAACAGCTTACTAACCCAATTGGCTATATATCAACTTTATCAGAAACTTGATTACCAGGATTAAGTAGAATTTCTGGAGCAGTGTATACTAGTATTACTATTATTCCTTTTACTATTCTAGCACTATCTTTTTTAGTCAAACTGGAGAATTAATGACAATATAGTATAGTAATAAAAATTATAATTATATTATATAGCTTACTATCCTAAGTTGCCAATAACAAGTACCTCTTTTTGTGAAAGATAGACTAGCTTGCTTCTAACTGTTATGAACAAGTTTTCAGGCCTATAATATATATTGCTTGTATTGGTAAACAAAAAAAAGTTCTTATACTACTTACTTTAGATCAAAATGTATACTAGAATACTCTTTGTGAAGGTATCTAACCCCTTCACATAACTGCCTATACAAATGAAGTCAGCTATATATCTAGCAAAATATAATGTATATAAATTACTTTATAAAATACCCTAGTCTTGCTTCAGAGAAACTTGTCACATCATTACAGTAGAAGCTATAAAATTCTCCATAATGTGCATACTCTGTAATAAGAAAATAAGCAATGCTATTCTCTAGTGTGCTATAGTAGTTCATCTGTCAAATTTGTAAGTATTTTGTTGTTTATCAAAATATGTGACAGACAATATAAGGGCTTTTGTAGCTTAATTCCATCAAGTTATTAGCTTCTTCCTTTACTTTCTTTACAACCTTGACTATCTCTTCCTTGGTCCTCTCTGTGCTATCAAATCTGTGTGTTTTGAGAATTACCTTGACAGTATACACAGCTTGTCCTTCACACTTTTTGGTTTTTTTCTTGATTCCCTTATGTACTACTCTCTACACCAAATGTAATAGCACATTAGTATATTTTTTGGATCTGTTATAGAAGTAAGCTCAACACAAAACTGGGAAATGAAACTCTCCTTACATAGACTTCTGTATTACTTTCATGTCTGAGAGGATTTACTTTACATTGACCATCTGAAGGTATCACTATTAAGCTAAAGTTCTTTTTTCTCCATTTGTTACAGAACTCCTTGGACAGGTCTGCTCCCAACTTAATAGCACTCAAACTGTCAAACCTGTGTGTTTGTTTCCACATCTAGGAATGTGTTGTATTAAAGTCAGTTTGTTTGCTTGGAATCAGGGGTGTAGTGAAAGTAAGATGTCATTACTTCCTCAGCTTGCCTCCCCATTTTATTGAGTAGATTGTACTTCCTACTGTAGCTTACTTTACTGTCTAAGGTTACAGTAGTACAATGAGTAAAGTACAGACAAGCTTTATCTTGAATTATTAGTATATGACCCATTATTAAGACAAGACTACACAAGAGTATGTCTCAGATGATATAAACTACATTACAAGCAATGACAAACAATGATGGAATACCTTCCATCATACATTCTACATCTGAGACATACCTACATAGTATATATAGACTAACTAATCAATGGACAATAAAGCAAGCTGTAAGAGAGCAAGCTGAGTCCACTATCCCCCCTCTTTGTGTGATCCCTCTAAGTCTCTCACATAACCTCCCTTCCCTTTCTTAACAGGTTATGAGCCTTGTGCTCCCTGCCTATGCTTTATCTACACTCTACTATGTCTATACTCTATACAGTTCTACACATCACATGCATGCATGTAGTATACTATAATACAGAACTTGACTCACCTGTCTGAGTATCCTAATACACTACAGACACACAATCTACTGTACTACATACAACCCAGACATTATATAATTGTCATCTTAGTGATTATGATCATTGGCCCAGTAGTAACATAATCTATGCAGGCAATGTTGAAACTATGATGAGTATCACTTATTACAATTATTAAATGCTAAAATATTCTATAATATCACAGAGATCATATTATAATAAATTAACTAATCATACTACAGACAAACATTAAAAAGATTAATAAAGCAAATGCTACTCTTCTGCTATTAACATTATAATAGTACAAATGATTGACACTGTCAATGAGCACACATATGTTATAGTATAAATCAAATAATAACACATATAGTAATATTACAGCTGAACAATTAATGCTCAAAACAAGCACATATATGCTAAACAGCATATTAAATTGAATAAATAAAACATTTAACATGTATTATAAACAATAATACAATTGCAGACACTATAATAACAATAATAATAATAATAATAATAATGATAATAATACAGATAGAACTAACAGAACAAATACAGAACAATATAATAACTAACACATATTATGGTTGAGCAATTATATGTAACATATTGGATTCAGCAGTTACATGTCAGATATTGTGATTACTTATCAGATACCAAATATAATACACATATCTAAGATATACAGACAAGTACAGATATACAAAAGTATAATAAATAACTACAAACCAAAAAGCAATGCTACAGAGTGTATAAACTAACTACACACAAAGAAATAATGTCATAATGTGTAAATACTGATTACAGCACAAGACAAGTGCAAAAATTATAATTATTAAACAAATGATACTACTTTACACATTAATACAATTGTGTAAATGTATACTAACAACAAACAAAAGAATTATATCTCTAATATACTTGAAACAACACATCAATACAACTTAATTATACAGAACATGTTATCACAGCAGCTGATTATATAATAAATTTCAAAGTTGTAACAGTAACATCAACTGTACAGTGTATATACCTTAACAAATGATTATTAAATTTATATTGTGACAATATAGCTTGTAGGAGTAAAGTATTAAGCTGATAAGGCTATTACAACAAATAATACAAATATAATTATTATGAATGCATTATTATAATAATTACAATCGAAAAACAATTATAATATAATATGATTAAATAAATTAATAAAATGTTTAAGCTATTATCTCAGACAGTATAATATAAAATAGGTAATAACAGATGCAAGCATACTTAATAGAACTCAGTACATTTACTAAAAGTACTACATAAATAATAATTACAATGTTATTAAATGAATATTATACAAAAACAAACAAATTACCATATGTTTTCAACACAAAAACAAAATATTCATTCATAGTTATGAACAATTATTAATAAAAGACAATGAGCACAAACAAAACTTGTATATTGTACATAATGTGTACTTATCTACTATAACAAACAAAATACACATTATATAAGTTGACAAACATTAACAGTAACAAAGATATAATAGTAATAACATTTAAATTACTCATTATAGAACATAACAAATGTTACACACTACTTTAAAATACTAATAATTAGAAATTGAACCACAAAAACAATTACAATTATTATATATAAATATTATATTATAACAACAATTAATAAACGTTAAAGAAATATCCAATTCTTCAAAGAAATACCTTCTTGAATTGAAGGGGAGAAAATGGATAATATGCATGAAAAATTAATAACTAAATATAAACAATGGAACAGAAAGTATAATACTACAGACACTACAAAAAATAGAATAACAAAATGCACAGACTAAGCACTGACTAAGTAATAGAAGTTACAGACAGACATAACAGATCATAAAGGTAAATCATTTGGTACAAAGCAAAACTATGTTGATCAGAACTAAATAACAGAAGTTAACACAATGTGCAATTGAACTTCAATGTTAAATAAATAATAATTCTACTATGAAACAAATGCTCATACTTGGCAAATAATATTAATATGATAATATAATTAACTTAACAGTGTTTAATACGAAAATAAATAATATACAGACAATTATCACATCATATAACAAAATAATTCATTAATTCAGACTATAGTTCATGGATAAAAGTGATGAATAACAAAAATAATACTTCAGAACGTACATAAAACAATAAATAATATATCTATATGATAATACAAATATAATTACAATATAATTTGCAACTACAACCGAGTGATACACAGATAATAACTATATAAACAAGTATGGAGTGCATACATATAATTAAATAAAACTATTAAATTGATTCTTGTATGAACAATTAATTTGCCCTTACTGTACAATTAATGCAAGCATGAACAGTATTATAACACTATGAATTACATCAGATAGATACTAATAGGTATATCTATACAATGATTCAAATAAAATAAATAAAACCAATATATAAAACATTTTACCTAGCAAACTAATTAACAAATAAAACATTGAACAAATACTACAATTGTGCATAGCACTAGATTAACTAAAGAATGCTAGGAGACAATTATAGTAAACATAATCTGATATATTACTTATATGCAGATTGTGTTACAATACATCATTCTTTGCAAAAAGAAAAAGCAAAGAACAATAACTATAACATACACACATATATATATACAATACTATGATTGCAACAATTCATGATAACATTGTTAATGATAAATAATACAAACACATGTTAGTAATGATTTACAACAGATAACTATGTTGGCTATTAAAGAAACAATGCAACAGATCACATAGTTACTCAGGATGCATCAGAAACAATCAATTAACAAACATAACATTAATAAATTAATACACAGATATAAACAATAATGTAAAGCAAACGAACAAACAGTACATTCATAATATAATACATATACAATGCACCTAGACACATAGCAAGATGCCTGCAGCCAGACATAACATCTATGCAACAAATATATGTTAGCATAAAACCTCATTGATCTCAGAATGAAGCAATCTGGCAAAAACAAATATTATTATTAATATTACAATATAAAATCAATACAATGCTTCAATCTGAAGACATAAATCAGCTATTGCTGAATGCTTAACACATATACAAATGTAGACAAATGTAGACAGTAATGATTAAAGAAGGATATTATTGTAACATTGAATATACATTTTACTAGCATGATTCATTAGTTTCACAGCAAAGTAAAAGGA